TAATCATTCGATATGCTCTTAGTAGTCGTCGCCGCAGTAATTTAGTAATAGTAGTGGTGGTGATTGTGGCAGTAGTTTCCCGTAGCAGTAGTAGCAGTAGTAGTAGTAGTAGTAGTAGTAGTAGTAGTAGTCGCAGTAATAGAGGTGGTAGTCATAGCAATAATAGTAGTAGTCGTCGTCGTAGCTGTGCGCGTGAAACTCATGCAGCAGCCAATGCAGCCGGAAAGACTGGCAGAACATGCTGCAGCTGTGTCCTGGATGTCGTCGCCTCCGCAGGGAACCTGTCTGTCAAAGGCCCTGTCCCCAGCTCGGGGAAGCTCCGCCTGCATTGCATGCGTCGAAGGTCTGCCTTCGGGAGCTCAAGAACTACTTCTGACTCGCTGGTATGCGAACGCCAGCGCATTGCGCGTAAACTTTTGGTTGTTGCAGTTTGCAAGCTCGTGCGGGTATTTACATGTCCACGCTTCCGATACGATAATTTCGCCTGTGCGATGAAGGCTTCATGAGAAGGATTTTCCAAGGCTTCGTGGCGCGCTGGCTCAGTTGAGAACGGAAGTGAGGCTTGGATGTGCGGTGACTAGGTGAATAAGCGAAAAATGACATTAGCGGAAGCATCAGTAATCTAGTAATTCAAATCACCACCTCTCACAGTGAAAGTTCTGATCTGCTCTGATGATGACAATGGCGACAGCGATGAAGGTGACGATGATGGCGCTGACTTGGGGAGCAGTGCACTGCTCAAAGCCACAACCCCCACGAAAACCCTCCGGGCACATAAGACATGGTGGGAACTTGTCGGTTTGATGCCTGATCCCCGACTCCATCCGTGAGACCAGGATCAGAGACCCGTCCGGAGGACACGCTAGCTTCTCTACCTCGGGTGCACGGGTGATGTCGCCAAGCCTTGCGGCCAGTCACAGGAACTCAGACGAACTCATGGACATGGCATCAAGCGAAATGTAACCTCTGGGCTCCAGGCAATGGCATTGTAGCCAACGTCTCGCGCATCCATGTTTTCAACCACCTGGAGCTTCTTTGGCCTCAAGCACAACACAATCGAAGCAACCAAGTGTCCTGAACATGGCCCTCTCACACCTTTCGCTCTGAACCTTGGAGTCGCGCTGTGTCCCTTCAACAGCCCTGCACGCCTCAAAGGCGAACTGAGGCTGCCACGTCGAAGAGGAGACCAAACCAGACCCATGAACCTGCAAATACTGAGTAACTTGGGGCATGGGGTTTGATGTTTGCTACTTCTTATTGCCGCAGCATAGCATTAGTGGCCTTAGAGACGACCAACAATACAAGTTTCGCATACATAGTGGTGCTGCGAGGATGAATGGCAAAACCAAGATACCCAGTAGCAAGAGAAATCATGATGCCCAAGGCCATAGGGCTGATAGGGCATCCTCTAAGACAGCAACAGGACAATCAGGGTCAAGGGAACACCTGCAGTTGGCATGCAAGGAATGTGTGTTAATGGAACGTAATGAGTAATGTGCACACACATACATATATAGGTGTACACACAAAAAGTATGCATACATACATACATGCATACATACATACATACGTACATACGTACATACATTTATGTGTATATATCTAAATATATAGAGGGAGAAGCGTGCACACTCGCAAACATGCGCAGACACGCAGGCAGATATACAAATCAATACATACATTATATATACACATACACACACACACATATATATATATATATACATATGTATATGTGTATATGTATAAGTACACACATACATACATATACATATACACATATATAGAAATACACGTACATATATACATTCATATATATATATGTTTATGTGTACACATGTATGTGTGTGTGCAAATATATATATATATATATGTAGATGTATACAGGCAGGTGTACAATTGAGTGTGTGTGTGTGTGTCCATCCCTCCCTCCCTCCCTCCCTCCCTCCCTCCCTCCCTCCCTCCCATCCATACATACATACATCCATACATACGTGCTGCGTCCATGCATCCATCCACAGATACGTATACCTTCTCTCCTGCCTTTCGGTCTTTCTGTATGTAGGCAAGTATGTACGTATGCAAGCAAGTATGTGTAAGTGTGTGTATATGTATAGTATGCATGTGTAAAGTAAAGAACTGAGTTAATATATATATATATATCATACATCAAAATAACATAACAGACTCAAACAGGTTAAAATGTTTCAAAATTAGACTAGTAAAGTCTTACAACATAAAGCATTCTAGTGCTAGAACTATATCATTGTGATATTGCAAGATTAGTACAAATCTGAACATGAATGCAAACGAAACGACAGACATAAACTAGGGTCCATCGCCCTAGTTTGCCCCACTTCTTCTCCCCACTTCTCTGTTGCTCAGTTCTGCATCGTGCCGACTTTGGCTCGCGTGCATGCTGCCAGCCTATCCATGCCCAAACCAAACTCCGTCC